GAAAAACTCATTCTAAAGACTTTATTGGACATGCTCTAATCTTATTTTAAATCGCCTACTTCACCATGTAGGAGTTATGTTGGTAAATGTACCTTTTAAAAAATTCAAAAAAAATTGAGATAAAATGGATGAAAGTCGTCTTTCGGCGATAATGAATCATTATTTTAGCATAGTATACATCATTTTATTTATGATGAAATAAATGTACGCTATTTTTTTTTCTAAATTAAATGTTCGCTAATTTAGATTATTTCTTACAAATTTTGGTTAGTTGGAGTATCAAATCTTATAGCCACACAACCTAGAAATATCAATAGTCAATTAGTTCACACTTCACACTTGAAGCTCGAGTTAACATCATAATTTTCTTTTCGTTTAATAATTCATATCCACGAAAACTATAAACTATTATAAACGATTTTAATTTTTGTTACGGACGATAGCGCTCTATGGTCTCTTACATAACATCGAGGAGATGAAACATCGACTAATGTCCAATCCATCTTTAGAAACTTCATAGTCAGATATTAGATATTGTCTATTAAACGAATAATTATGTTTAGGCGTAATTAATGGGGTGGCTTTTGTGACAAATATAAAGTTTAAGTCTTAAGACCAAGTCACATTACAAGTTACAACTGATTCACGAGTGAACATGTTGAAACTTATTAGCAACAGATTCATAAATGGTCAAGTTAATGTGTTATCATAGCATGAGATGTGCACACGTGGAAGGTCTAGATTAAATATTAAATCAATGAAGTGAAAACGATGGATTAAGCCCTTAATTGTCATTACCCTACTCTACTATGTCGGCTATGAGAGAGCTCGAGATACAAGAAAAGAGATAAATAAATATGGAATAAAATAATACACAGTTTTTATGATGGAGTCATTAAACGTAATACTTTTTTGCTTACCGCATGTGGATTACCCTTGACAACTTTTTTTTTTTTTTTTGGTCAAAACCCTTGACAACTTCAATGTGTAAACATGTACTCAATGGAGATTTATCATTGTGACCAACAATTGCTAAATTATACGAATCCTTTCCCAAAACCCATTATGATAATAATCAACATCGATCAAGATTTGAAAACGTAATAAGTTTGTTAGTTGAACAAAGTTTTATCGAGTGTCGTGTCTAGATTTATAGGGATTCGAGGCAAACTTAAAAATAAAATAATTTTTTAAATGATTTTTTCTAACAATAATTAGAATTTAATTTTAAATGATTGTTAGAGTGTTTATAAAATATAATTAGATAAAAATATTTTGATTTTTGCATTAAAGTAAGTTTTGAACTTGGGATCAAAACTTCAAAAATTTATATTACCATATTTATATTATTATATTACAATTAATTTTTGAAAAATGGGACTCCTAAAATTAATATATCATATGAGATCCGAAGTGAATACTTTTTTAGTTGCATGGTAGACACGGCTAGTTTTATCTAGAACAGACGCAGGCCTATTTACGGATGTACGGACTTATGCAAGTAGCGAACGAAGACGTAGTCAACACATATCCATATTTTACTGTTTTTAGTCTATTACGTATATCTTTTAAATGGACACTAATACACTATCACGTAATAAAATATAAAATCTCATTTAATTACAAATAGTTAAAAGAAATATTTTCAATTCTTTAAAAATTCTGATAAAATAGTAATGATAGATAGTTATAATTTCAGGAAGTAACTTAAAGAGAAAAAGCTAAGAAAAAAAAACACTTAAAGAGATTTGTGCACAGAAACTCAAATAAATAAACGTTCAAAAACATACAATTTTTTATTGAAACTATACAAATTAATTTTCTTATCAAAACTTTATAAGTAATTAGATAAGTCTTAAGCTTAAATAGATATTGGTAGTTTACTAACATGATCACATGCTTTACTTTGTATGTGTTTTTTTCTGCTACTTTGTAAGTGTTGCTCGAAATCGGCACGTTTTTCTGTTATTTATTGTAAATGTCGATATACTTATTATTGAAGAAACTAATCAACGAAATGGAGGTGGGTTAGTAGTTATTTATTGTAAATGTTGATATATTTACCACATGTCGAAAAAATCAGAGCCATCTACTACAATTATGCATATATTGTTTTTTTTTTTTTTTAAGGAAAAAAAAGATTGATGCAGCGCTATTGTTTTGGAAACCCAATCTTTTGGAAGAAAGTTCAAACTAAGTTTTGATTCACAACCAAAAATTTACAATGATAATAAAAAAATAATTAATTTTATGGAACGTTTCGTTTATTTTTGCATGGGTAACTATTATGGTGTGCCAATGTATGAGCAGCTAGAGAGAGTGCGAAAGAATGTAAAGCAAATTAATGGTAGATTTGACATGTAGATTTGATAGCCATAACATATCTATCAAAATATTTGATATCCATAATTCGCTGCCTACCAAACTTAAGTTGTGATTGGTGAACATAGAGAAATTAAGAGAAATGTAATTGAGAAGAAAAGAAAAATGGTAATTAGTTTAGTTAAGAAGAATAGTCCCAAGTTTTGTGGTCAAGTGGCCAGAAAACGGGTTTGTGATGCCAATACGTTACAAGTTCGATCCGCTTTCTACGCAAAACTAAAACACATTACTTTGGACATCCACATAGATATGGACCCTTGTTTTCGGTCTATTCGCATACGCGGAGAGAGAATCTATCCATGGACTGCACATCCTTCCAAAGATTAGTCTGGATCCTTCTATAGATGTAAGATTTACCCTGAATT